TTCGGATACGGTCATACGTCTAATTATAACACCCATGCAAGCAGCACATACGCCACCATACATGGGTAAATTACTTCAAAAATGTAATTTAATTACAATTACCTTGCTCCGAAAGTAGTTTAACTGCAATCACTACAACGTGAAAAGTAATGCAATTACAGTGCAATTACTTATTCCTCATAGCGACCCGACTTCGGGCATATAACTTTCGACGAGTTGTATAGAATGCAACACATTTGTTCATTCCCTGCCGCAATGTTTGAGGCTTAAGCATCTCTACATATAAATGTCACGTATTGTACTTTCCTTTTATGAATTTTGTTAAATTCATGGTAGAGTTTGACAGTTTGGGGAAATGAAGTACTACGTTCTTATAATTTAATAAATAATAATCAATTAGTTCATACTCTGGAAGACGCTAGATCGCTACAGAATAAATTCGGTTGACAGACTTTTGTTAGACGGGCAACAAAAAAATGCGACAACTAGTCTTATATGAATCTTTTACGAGTGTTAATATCAAACTAAAATCCACACGCGCTAATACGACCACATTCACATACGCACATCATGTTATTGTAAATTATTTAGATTGAGTTGAAATTATAATGGCTCAGAAATATATAAGAACCAAACCGGGGCTCCCGGATCATTGGTGAAAATATTCGCAGGTCCGAGGTCAGTCTCCAAATGCAGATAACATCCGAAGTAAAACTACAAGGAAATAAACTTGAAATAGTGACAAAGATACAAATTTGCGACAGTACTAAAAGAAAGACGTAAAAAACTGGCAAAAAAATTCACAGGCAAATAAAATTCCCGACCTCGTCTTAAAGCTGAAGCAAAATATATATATATATATATATATATATATATATATATATATAGTTTTTCATGTTGACGTTATTGTTTTCTGCCCGCACCGCAGACGGCGCTACACGGCGCCGTTGAGGTAGGCTCTAGAGAGGATTGTCTCTCAGCCCGCAGTGTAAGTAACAAAAAAAAAAAAACAGACAACGCGACGCTATTTATGTTGTGCCTGTGTGTGAATACGTGTCTTGTGGGCGAGTGTTTTACAGAGAGCCAGGCCGCTCGTGCGACCGCTGAGGCTTTCAGAGAGGTTCCGTCAGCGCCGTAGAGTCTAGCAAAAGTAATTGTAATTGTGCCTGATATTTTGCAATTGCTGACTCTAGAAAGTAATTAAATTACAATTACAATTTCTTTTAACCGAAAGTAATTAATTACAATTACAAAACACCAAAAAGTAACTAAATTACAATAATTCAATAGCGGTAATTGAATTACTACCTCGGTATGTTCGCCACACACCAAATCAGTAGCGTAATGTTGTAACTTGTAAACATACTTGCTCAGAGAACAAGGTCTCTTTCTCGGACATCCGGCACGCGCTCTTTACCGTCGCGTTTTGGACGGGCATGCACGCTCGAAGCTCACGGGACATCCCGGTGTCATTGTAGGCACTTTGGCTGAACCTAACCTCTCTGTCGCTTTTAGCTATTTTTATACGTAAAAGAACTTTCACCTTGGTTATAACATTTCGCACGAAACCGGATATTTTGCAGTAGCTGTGCATGGGCGCCCCCATCCTTGAGTGTTTCTTTCTCCTTCTTCACCTCACTTCATTACCCCAGCGGGACAAGTTATTGCCGTTTCAGAATCTGCGCAGTCCTTCTCCCCAGCCTTTGTGGAGGCCCGTCGACACCCGCTTCAGTGGCTCGACACCTCGCTAAGACGAGAGAAAGTCAGCAATGGCGGCTGTAATCTGGTGCGTGTGCGAAGCACCTATAAAAAAGAATGATTAGAGCATTTTATCGGATTCTTTTCCGAACTGGTCACTGCACGTAATTACGAAAAACCCTTACACTAGGGTAAATTAAGGGACGGGACAAGCACGAAGATTCAATAGTTCGTGTTTGTCCTGCACGGTAGCGCGCTTAATTTTTGTTCACGGTTACGGTAATTAGAATTTCAAGGATTGGATGCTTCTAAAATACTTTACATACGGTGTCACCAGGTATTATTACAATATATTAAGATATTAGAGCATCCTATGGGATGCCCATTTTTTTTTAAATCTGCAAAAGCAGGGAAACGCGAGTATTGAAGTTATTGTAATTAGTTTTAATTATGGATATCGAATACTTCTCGACTACTTTCCAGCTGATATAACTGCGTGTTAGCAACAAATTAGTTGCAATTCACGACCACATCGTGCAACATGGATCAATTGCGAGTATTTCTCACACCTAAGTTTAAAATGAAACGCGTGTTTCTCGCGCGCTACGCGTTCGTGTCCCTGCCGCTAAGCACGCCGTGGGCAGTTCGTCGAATCGAAGCGGTGCAGAACCGAACCGATTTCAGGCATGGGAACCTGAGCCGCAGGTAAAAACCATTGTAAAAACAAAATCTGATTCAGTCTGAATTGAGCAAGAACGTAAATTAAGCCTGTCAACGTGTCAAACTTGATTTGATTACAAAAAAAAAAAAAAAAAAAAAAAAACGTTACGTACGCCATTACGTAAGTTGTACGAGTAGAAAACAAAATTTAGACCATAGCTTATTTCACGCCACTCTTTAAAGAAGCAAAGATTGTGGACGCAACTGGAGTCTTTAGTGTGGTGTAATAATATGTAATACGTCCTGTATCACCTGGGCCAAAAGACACAGATTACGTAGCGGCTGCTGAAGCGTGGATAGTGCAACGCCCATTGGCAGCCAGACATGTAAAAACGTACCGCGTCAATACAGGGGTCCGATCGTGCCGGGCTACAATATTCTGGACTAGCGACAATATCGCGGCACGGTAGCAATAAAGCTATACGTTTTGGCTATTTCTCGAAGCTCACTGGACGACAGAACTCTTCTCGAACAGTCAACGGGGAAGGCGCACCTTCAAACCCACTGAAAACAACTGTGTGTCCCACTCTCTGTCTACAGACAGAGTGTTGTCCCGTTCTCTGTCTACAGACAGAGAACGGGACAACACGACAAAAGGACTCGCTTTATACGTCAAATTTCCATCGATTCACCTGCGTTTTCGTGGCTTTATGTATAGCATATTGAAGCTGGCCAACTATTGGACAACGACGAAGATTCGTGGACATCAATCGCTGTCTTAGTCATGTTTAGTTAATTTAAAAAAAAGCTAATTTCAACCAGGGCATTTACACGTACATGCACAATGATTATGTCCCCGCATCTACAACGATCTCCGAGATATTTGCGTATATTACGGTGACACTGTGTTACGTATATTACGGTGACACTGTGTTACGTATATTACGGTGACACTGTGTTACGTATATTACGGTGACACCGTATATTACGGTGAACAACCACGAGTCTTTCGTAGTTGTTGCTCGGACATATGGAGGTTAGTTAATGCTTAAAGCTACCTATACTTAAGGAGAACTTTTTGTGGCAACCAAGGCAAAGTTATGTGTACACGTGAGCTCGCGCCCCTTGAAAGTCGACCAAAGCGATGCACGCGCTGAAAATACCCCGAATGAAACTACGGACGGAGCAATGTTTTTCTTTTTCTCGATCGGAGCGTGGAACAGAACGCGGTGCGGCCGGTCACGAACACATCAAGTTGTAGGCACCCGAGGCGCTCCTGACTGAAAGGCCGACCTACCGTCGAGTAAGCTCTTGGCATATCGCTCTGTTTACAAGTCGCTCACATTATGTTCGGCTGTACGTTGCCTCTAACGGCTGGGATACGCTGCGATTCATCCGGCCGCTGTCTGTACGCGTTTGTATTACAGACGCCACGCATAACTTGGCATCCGGCTTATTGTTTTATTACTGTCATCGCCCTCGTTAAACTCAATGGCGGAAAGAATCTTCGGGCGCGGCTAGGACCCCCAGGACCACAAGGTACCGGAAGGCGACCCGCGGGAAGCTCCGGCCGAGAGGGCACTGGAGCGTCGATGGCCCCTGTGCCGAGGGAACGACCCGCCGTGGTTCGACTCGGGCGGCCGTCAAGCGCTGTCAGCTGAGGGCGGCTCCGTTGGCACCCGGGACGGGGAACCAGTTGCGCCGACGCGGATCGGAATCTTCACAATCTCGCGTCCAGCTCGGAGCCCCGACGTGGATGGACGAGGAAATGCGGTCCCCCAAGATACCGGCGTCGTAAAATACGTACACGCACGCACAGAAAGCAAAATAGTTTTAAAAAAATCTCACACGTGTCAAACTACTGTAAGGCAAAACAAAAATCGGAAGGAATTTTCAAATCTGTTTTCTCCCTTTCCTGATAGAGAAGTATGGTTGGTACCGCGCAACGGTGAACGGAGTGGGCGAAGAGCATCCCTGCCAGCGAGATGGTCGGAGCTGAGCTGCTTCGCCCGTGGCCCGACGTCGAAATACAAGAGAGGTGCACAGGTCGGTTATCAAACCCCTAAGCATGTGGGTCGCTTCGTAGACCTTGAACGGACAGAGCCCGCTTCAGTTGCTGATTGCGACGAGCCGTGAAGGAAACGTCACGAATTATGTCAGGCGTCACGCACGGCGTGTCGGTAATCCACCCGAACGGCTCGGCCCTTCGGCGGGTCAACACCGAAACCCGCGCTACGAGCCGCTATCCGCTCATTCATCCCGGCTACGCGAGACTTTCTTCTTTGTCCACACGTTCCACTTTCCCTGCCAGCCAAAATGGCCAGCACCATATCGCGGAACCACGGAAAATTCGGACATTTCTCGGATCACCTAACGCTCGTTCCCGCGAGCTCTATCGGTAGAGGCGATCACCCCTCGTGCGTGTCACTTGTGAGGAGCTCTGTCTTCGAGACGAAAAGCGCACGAAATCCGACACCGAATGAAAAGGATCGCGTAAGAACCGCCTGAAGTCCGGCAGACGCGGGGCCGTCGGAGGTGCGAAATCAGCTGGGCCCAGCCGACGCAGAGTGTCGGCTAGCCCCGAGGGCCACTCGAAGCCCCCGCCGCACGGGGGCGACCTTGCTGGCGGCGGATCCACTCACCGTCCAGGCATCGCGCGTGGTCCAGCAGGCAGGCACAGGTAAGTATCCAAAGCGCGAGGCTCACGCCGGGTGGCCACATCCTGGAGATCCGGGGTCGGGACGCGCACACACAGCACAGCACAGGCGCCGGGCGCCTCTCGGACGAGCGTCGGCCACACGCGGGAACAAGGTCTCCAGGGACGGCAGCGGCAGCGGCGTCGAACAGGTCTGGCGGTCGCCAGCCAACTTCTCGGGCCGACCTGGCCGCAGGTGACGGCGACCGGGGCGCCCCCTGCCCGCCACGCGCATGCGCCTCTCCCTGCCGCTAATCACGCGCAAGCAGGTTGCGGGTCGCCCACGGCACCCGACGTCTCCGGGAAGCCGCTGCCAAGGCGGCCAGCTCCGGAACTGCCGATCCCCTCCGGCGCTGCCTCCGGCCGTCCTGCAGGGTCCGGAGACGGGCCCAGGGCTTCCCGCGGGACAACCTCCGCCTACGAGTACCGTCTCGTCCGGTGCGCCCGTGCCGAGAAAGACGTCACCTTGGGACTCCCGCCGCGTGCCAGGACGTCACGGATGCCACCACCCTGGAAGCGGCACAGCTAGTAGCCCAAGATTCCAGTGACGTACTTTGAGCTGAATTCCCGATTCAGCTCAAATAGAGAGAGGTTTATTAGGAAACGACAGAAAGGTTAAAGATGAAAATAATCCTGGGAGAAGGGGAAGAAGGCACAGCTAGATGACTGGTGCGCGACCGAAACAATCCGCCTGACCCTGGTGTCGAACCAGGAACTTCTAAATTTCCAGTGGAGCGCTCTACCAACTGAGCTAACCAGGAGTTCGACGTCAGTAGAGCAAACGGGTTTTATCAGCTGCCACCAGTCCCACACCAACCAGGGTAAACGGCTTGCATTTGAAGGTTTTTATTATAATGCGATTAAATGTCAAGGTGCAAGCGAGCTATACCATAAACCCCCTTCTCTAGGGATTATTTTCATAATTCTTGTCCAGCTCGCTTGCACCTTTGCATTTAATTGCGTTATAATCAGAAAGGTTAACCTACGTTCAGGTTTCTGTTTCTCCTTAACAAACCTCTCTCTCTCTCTCTCGCCGGTCAGACAGCTCATACTTTCTGCGACATTTCTTTGCGTGTCCCCCGCAAAGAAATGTCGACTCAAAACTCTGGTTGCCGCCCTCGCTCATAGATGGCGGTAGCTGTCCAGAGTGTTGTGCTTGTCGGTTGTCCGCTTGCCGCCGTCGTTCATAGGTGGCGCAACCTTTCGAGCCTTTCCACTCTGTCAAGCAGACTTGCAGACCAACAAAGTCGAAAGGCTGGAAGTTTTTTTTTTAACGTTACCATCTCAATGTCTAAACAGGTGTCACATCCCTCAAATATTGAACACTTGTATATCATTCTCGCTCATGGTGGCAATGCCAGCAAGTTGGTTCATATTCACCAAAAGGGTATATACGTACATCGCGCAAAGAACGAAGAAAGAAAATAGGGAGCTAAGAAGAACAATGAAAAAACTGTGAGTGCGCAGGCAAGCTCGTGGATGTTGATCATAATGTAGAAAACCCGAGACTGTGGTAAAAGCAGGGAAACAGTGTCGGAGAAGGAAGACAGGGGAAAAGAACGTTCTTGAAGAACGTTCTTTTCCCCTGTCTTTCTTCTCCGACCCCGTTTCCGCTTGTCCTTCTTCTCCTAAGAAGGACAAGCGCCTTAATGAAAAAAATTACACCATCTTCCCGAGGGGAACCATGGGGTGATGCGGAGCATCGCGGATCGTTATTAACGGTGTTATTAACGGTGTTAGTAACGTTGTTAACTTGCGTGTTATTACGTTGTTAACTTGCGTTGGTTTCCACACATCGCGTGAACGTTGTTGGAAACTCCGCGATGCTCCGCATCACCCCATGGTTCCCCTCGGGAAGATGGTTACTGACGGGACTGTTGCTTCCATCACACCTCATCGGATGAACGGAGTGAAGTGGAGTCAACAGCGGGTGAACTGAACGCGCGCAGCACGCTACCGCTGCTTATATTCACACTTGAAGGAGAGGAGACTAGAGGAGGAGAGTTGCGCATGCGGTGTGAGTAGAAGCGAACGCACGCGAAGTGCACGCAGCTTGTAGAGAGAGCGGAGAGAGTAACGCGCAGCTGTTGGAGAGAGGGAAGGAGGAGAGTTGCGCATGCGTAGTGTGAGTGCGGACTACGACGCCGCGGGACATAGCAACACCTCCTAGAAGACAAGGCCGTAGCGCTCTTCTCGTGACGTCGCAAAGGAAGGCCATCGGGGGCGCGCGTCGAAGCGAATGCAACGCGCGTGGATCGACCGTCGTAACGCGTTTTTAGTCACATACGCGTGTCATATTAGCTAAAATGAAAGATGCACATAGCAACAAGTCTAGAAAACATTTTATTACACGGGCAAAATTTTACACCGCTAAATAATCGGTACGAAATGGCACGAGGTATGCGTACAAGACTTCTATAGAAAAATGTGATTGTTTTAAGTCGAAAACATTGAGTCATGAAATTATTGTTGTAGGAATGCATATTTTATACAGAAATACTTGAACAAAATGGCGAGACACGCAGTGATTTGGAAACAGCAAAACAGAACAGTTAAAAATCAGGTAGACGTAGTCAACGCGGACAAGGCAAGACAAGTGTTTCTCTCGATCATGTAAGCGACGTTATCGCGTGCAGTCACTGAATTCTTGCATCATACCCCGGCCGCATGGCAAAATTAATGCAATTTTGATCGAATGACATTGTGGGGTCGACAAATCCGCTTGCGGCGCTCGTATAGCCACTCAAGACCGCGAGCTGATTAAATCCTATATCACTGAATGAAAATATATTAACTTTTCCGTGTGGCAGGGGTACTAAACTTACTACTTAGTCTACTAATTTACTTCTCCCTATGGGGCCCAAGCTGCCTTAGAACAACATATAACTTATTTTGTATATAATAATACTATTACCTTAATACAGTTGAGATTCTAGTATAAACGCGGAAAAGGCAATAAAATAACTTTAGTATAAATAAACACAGAACCACGAACAACGCACTTTCAATAATCACACAAACTTGTTTTTCGCCTTCCAGTGAAAACTAGATTAGCGCGCATATTTACAAATGTCGACGCAACTGCACACGAATCATGACAAAGAACAAAATTGCAATCTATCATGCGATTAAAAAAAAAAAAATTGCAGCATCTTACTTGCGTCCTACATGACCAAGAAAGCCCGTAAATAAGTTGTTTCTCACCTGTCGATCGTATCCATACGTCCCACAATATCCGTGACGTACACATTTGAACACGAACTCCAAGAAGCCTCTCTCTGTCGAGAGAGGTCTATCGATTAATCGACCAGTCTTCGTTGGCTAGTTGTCACACATGTCACTCAAAACGAAGCAGGACTTGTTTCACGAATCCACGTGAATGCCGTAGTATCAAGCGAACACAAAAAAAAAAAAAACTACCCGAGACTACGGTGATGACAGAAATACGACGGGAAACAAGTCTCAAAAGTACCACACACGAGAGCAGCGGCGACGAAAGGCTTGACGTTGTCGACCCATCTCTTGCTCGTGTGCGGTCCCCGCGACAATGACTGGATTTCTTTTCGGTATCCTTCCCTTCTGAGATGTCTCAGCGTTCCTTTTCAGACAGTCAGCAGCTCACACACAACGTAAATTTACCAGAATCGGAGCCATGTGGCATCGGCAGCATCGCAGCCGGTCCTTTCGGTCCTTTCGAAAAGTGTGGGGTGCTGCGGAACTGCACGTAGTCCCGCGGTTACGGGGATACTCATAAATATAAATTTGGTACTCTCAACCTTGGTAACGCGTTGTATATCACGTTTATATTATATATATAATAAATTGTACAAGACTGCGCCTTTAAAACGTATATTAATGCCGGATAAACGCGCATGAACAACACCGCGCCGAGGTACATTTTTTTCACGTTGATAGCGTATTCTCACGTAGTTGCGCCATGGACTTCCTTCCTCCGCCATTGTGACGTAACCTTTCAGAGCGCTCTGGCCTTCTTCTCTAGGAGGTGTTGGACATAGACCCGAGCAAGAGATGCTCCGCATCTAAAACATACCAGAGACAACAACCAACTCCGTCGTGGCCAACAGACCGATCTCACCAGAAGCTGCGCGACACCACCGCTGCCGCGGTGCATTGTGGTACCCGCAGTTCTCCCCAGTTTTCCGGTCGCGATAATGCGCGTCGTACGCCCGGCGTTGCGAAATTTCCGGGTTAGCGCGAGACTTTTAATCGGGTGTTTACTCACGCTTTTCAATGGGTGGCTTCACCCGTTCCGTGCCAAGCTGCCACAATAGCAGCACTAGGCAAAAGTGCATAGGATATTAGGTCTTCCCGAAGAAGGCAGCCCTCGAAATGAGCGACTAAAGGCTGAACTCCATGGGACGAATTACGTGACAAATAACTGGCGAACGCCGCCCGACGGCACGCTCGCTTTGCGCGCGACGTAGCAGCCACTGTTTTCAGTCGCAGAGTAATTTCTCTCCGCCTTGGATAGTGTCCGACTTGCGTAGGAGATGACTCGCTTGATCCGCAGTACCGCTCCAAGTCCTGCATTACTAGCGTCTGTATGAATCTCGGTTTCCGCATCCTGATCAAAGTGTCCAAGAACAGGAGGAGTCTGGAGTCTTCGCTTCAATTCGTCGAATGCCTGCTGCTGCTCCTCGGCTCATTCGAACGTCTCGGCGTCCTTCGTAAAGTTGGTGAGTGGTGCTGAAATATTCGCGAAATTTCGAACGAAGCGTCGATAGTGGGCACAAAGTCCAAGGAATCTTCGCGCGGCCTTCTTGTCTGTCGACGCTGGAAATGCCGCGACGGCGCTAGTCTTCTCGGGGTCTGGGCGCACGCCTTCGTTACTAACCGTGTGGCCTAGAAACTTGAGTTCGTCATAGGCGAACCGGCACTTTGACGCCTTGAGGGTGAGTCCGGCGGTCTGTATGGCTTGGAGAACAGCGCGCAGTCGTCGCAAGTGCTCGTCGAAGTCAGTTGAAAATACTACGACGTCGTCAAGGTAGACGAGACAGCTCTGCCATTTCAGCCTTGCCAGTACGGTGTCCATGACACGCTGGAAAGTTGCTGGTACCGTGCATAGTCCGAAGGGCATCGCCTTGAACTCGTACAGTCCATCCGGCGTGACGAAGGCTGTCTTTTCTCGGTCCCGTTCGTCGACTTCGATCTGCCAGTAGCCACTCTTCGGG